AGGTAACCATACTCAGAGTCAGAATCAGAATCAGAATCAGAATCAGAGTTACTTTACTACAAGCGGTTTACCGCCAGTCAGTTCGTCCTGGCGACAAGCCCCTTGAGACTCATGACACAGTTATTTTATTTTCCAACTGAACCCTCGCGGTTGTAGTCCTTATGTAATATCCTCTCTGACGAGAGGATGGGCCTGTCGTTTACATCTGCCGCTGGGCCTCGCCAGCGCTTCAGATATACAAAAGCTGGTGGGGGTGATAGATAGACAAACAGACCAGATGGAGATTGCATAAGCATACTTAGGAAGCAGAAACTGTTACCGCTTACACGTCAAATTCCGTATCATGACCAATAATTGGGAATGTGGGAATTAGGATCGTGACTGAGCGGCGAGGCTCACGTACTTTACTGAGATAACCTTATGGAGTGAGGTGTTTTCGTGAGATCCGCGCCGAGAGAATCTGTGGGCTGCTACGCACTTCTCTCCTTTCTCTTTCTGTGACGTTATATTGCAGGATAATTTCTCTCCTTTAAATTAGTTAAGTAGGATGGCGAGTAGATATAGAGAGACTTCACATTGCCCTTCCCACAATTAGGAACAGTTCCCTCGTGGTTGCTCACTCATGAGAGTAAAGTGACTAGGATACGGATTCGGGTTCGATTCGAGACACTAGCTAGAGACATTCCACGGAGCCATGATCGGCCCTGGGTTTCACGCCGCCCCCTCCCCAATCCGCAATAAAGTGACCGGTGACGTGAAGCTGATCTCTCACCCCCATCTAATGCCGGCGCTAGGGGTGCGTGGAGCTTCTCCTCTCCGTACACCTTCATAGCATGGTCATTAATCACAGGAAAATCTACACCCTACGATCTTAATTCTTAGGGTAAGACGAGATTGAGTTCTTCAGTGCTTAGGCCGTAGATTATCCTCTATACTTGAACCGAGTAGCAGACGAGAGAAATTGCGAATCTGCTTGAATACAAATTGGCAAAGTAAACGGAAGTACACGGAGAAAATCTACTGCAGTGCCAGTTTTATCCAGAAGTCCCTCATGGACTGAGTTTGGATTTAACCAAGGCCACTGCTATGATAAGCCGCCACTAACCACTAGAACTGTGACACGATTTATTACTTACTTTTCTTCGGTAAGTGCCAGGCCACGAAGGCGAATGTGGGGCATGTCGTTAAGATCCTCTTATTCTTACCTCAGAGAGATGTGAAGCTCTTATATATGCGATCCATCTTCCTTTACTCCCAATGAAAGGGTCACTGGACCAGGCCCAGTCTGGCTGAATTTATAACGCTAAGAATGTCAGTGCCCTTGCTAGGAATCAAACTCCATTTACGTAGTAGTAATCTGTCACGTCAGAGTCTAACCTCTCACGATTTCAGCACACAAGCTCTCAATATTTTCCCTTGTTCAGGTTCTCTGCGGAGAAATCTTTTGTATGAGGAATTTCATTACACGAGGTACTGCAGTTAGTTTGATTACAGTGTCGAGAGATGGCAGGACAAGTATTTCTTCACTGTGTACACGGCCTACCGAAGACCAAGAAGGAAAGCGGATTTGAAAGCAATATACATCTCTCTTCTGTAGCATTCTAATAGATTATTGCAAACTACGTTAATTAGTGAATCAACAAAGATACGAAATATAAGATAAAGGAAACTGGACAAGTTCATTTGTACTCCATAGAAACGGAAATCGTGCAGAATGAAGACACAGTTTCGGGAAAAATCCTGTGATGCAGTATGTTAACCGGCGTCAAAGTTTAGCGTAGTTTTGTTCTTGTCACTGCGTACAGCGAAGCTGCGCTCTATTCAGCCACCCCCGATGTGAAACAGCTGTTCTTCAAACAAGTGCCAGGGACATTCAACAGATAAACTGACTCGAATTACATTATTTAGACAGAATCGTAAGCTCCACATCCAGACAAGCGCTACGGATCTCTTCTTCTGAAGCACCCTCCATAAGTGACATGCATTTGCAGACTCTAAGCGCTTACGTGCATCTTGTACGGTTGAAAACTTATTACGAACTACAGTTTAACAGAGTGCTCGTAAGAAATCACCAATTAAATTCCACATGAAGAAAGCAGTCTTCTGGGATTTGGCACCGTGTATATGTGGTGTTAACCGACGTTCCTACGAAACGTCGGTTAACACCACATATACACGGTGCCAAATCCCTGAAGACTGCTTTCTTCATAGTCACCGCCGTGAAAGCCTCAAATCTTAAATTCCACATGTCGCACTCCAGTGTTCACTCACAATTACAAGGACATATTTTGCAATATCACACCGCTATTACTTTCCAGCGCCGTAAAATCATCCTGATGATATTGCCACGTGTGTGTGACTATAGACGGGGTTTGGATTAGTGACTCAATTTATTGACCACTTAGAGATCGTACTACAAACAACTATAATCCTATCGCTATTTCCACATTTTACATTTCACTGTTAAACACACTAGTTTCCTTAGACTATTACAGTCTCCACTAACCGTTTCCTGGCAACGGATTCTAACATATTAGTAAAAATATTATGTTTCTGTCCAGAATCTAGTCCCCAAAACGTGTTTTGAAAAATAAGCACGGCGGTTTTAGATAAAGACAAGACGATGGATAATGTTCAAAATTATAATACTTGTGTCAACTTACCAAGAGGGCGGGTCTATCGTTTACCTTAATGACTTGTCAAGGTAAAAGTTTCTTTGTGACTGGCGATTTACTGCCAAAAAATTCATCTTGGTTTCAAGCCCCTTGAGACACACGACCAGAGATATTTGTTTCAGCTGAACCCTTGAGTTCATATTGCTTATGTAAAACACTCTCTGACAAAATGATTTTATATCTTACGAATATGCTTGGCCTTTAGTCTAGTGTACGTATCGCACATATAGCGTTGAATTCCTTGAGCCGACCTGAGTTCCTCATTCTATAGCCTCGGAGCGGACCCAAAGGAAAACACCTCTCTCAACAACACAACAATTGTTGGACTTTATCAAGAAAACGTGTTTACTGGGCCGTTGCCTAAAAATGGACGTCACCTCTGGCTTCACTATTCCTACCTTCAGGCGTCATGTCATAATATTGGGGCATATCTGTTGAAAACCAGAATAGTGAAGGCAGCGGAGACAGGTGTTGGTAGGAAACGGCTCTGCGAACACGCCCGTTGCTAGACAATGGTTGAAACTGACACGTACGCAAGAAGAGAAGGGCTGTTGGAAGCAGTGATCTCTGTGCGGGCCGTGCTGAGGCTATATATAGATAGAACGAGAGCCAGCTGCCATTATGATAGAATCCTGGGACGGCATTCAGAAGAGTAGGAGGTTGGCGTGAGATGACCGCCAGCCTGCGAGGGTGTGAGCTTGGGAACAGAGGAGAGTCCACTGTTGAAAGACATCACCAATCAGAGCCGTGAAGACCGTGACTGAGAACACTAGTCTGTGTATGATAGTGATTTGTAAAGTGTAGTCAAGGGTTTTGTGTTAAAGTGTCCAATAAATCCGATTACCAATCCAAACCTCGCCTATAGTCACTACATCACGTGACAATAGGTTTTCAGAATTTACGTTTCATAAGTTCTAGTTTGAAATCTTGGCCTGGCGTCTGACTCTCCTCACTGCGGGTTCTCTGAACATTGACTTAAAATTGACCCGACCCACTTCCAGTTCATCATCGTACCAATCCACTCAATATGAACTCTACTCTTGATGGAGCGTGAAGCATACGGAGACTCAATGGAACTTAAAACACCAGCGCACGCAGTATCCAGCATCGAGTTAGGAATAGCGGTCCTGTTGACGTTAACATGCCTCTGTTGAAGATAAGACATCCTTCTGCTGTTTAAGACACGAGTAGGTGTGTGGCCTTCATACGCACCATATGCATATTCAATTTAGTGACAATAAAATATTAATATTCACTAATAGCCAATTACAGCGGTAGCGCGTTTAGGAAACAATGTTTCCTACCGCTCGGCTGTTCATATCCCACTCGGGAAATGATTGCTTACTTGTCCGCGCTCCTTCTTTGCTGTATGAGCGGCAGTCAAATGAAAACGGGTCAGAAGCCAAAACATATTAAAGAACTTTTCTTACTTCAAAAGTAATATAAAAAACTATTTATACCTTTATCCCACTGGGAGATAAGACGGTCAATCCCTTCCTTGAAAAAGCTTGTGGCCTCTCTACGGAACCACATCTTTGCCCAGCCACACACTTTTTCGTCCGATGCCAACCGATGTCCACGAATGTCTCTCTTCAGGTCTCCAAAAATGTGAAAATCACATGGGGAGAGATGTGGACTGTAGGGGGGGGGATGTTGAAACACTTCCCAACCAAATCTCTTTTAGCGTATTCCTCACAGAGGTGGCAGTGTCGTGGCGCTCATTATAATGAAGGTTAATGCCGTTCGATAGCATTCCAGGGCGTTTTGACTTTATGGCACGTCTCAGTTTCTGCAAAGTATCTTCATAGCGCTGTGCACTAATTGAGGCCCCATGCTCGAGAAATTCGACAAGCAGACGGCCCTTGCAGTCGAAGAAGAACGTCAACATCACTTTACCGGAACTTGTGTATACGGCTTTGGATTTCTTCGGTGGGGGAGAATTCACGTGTTTCCACTGTTGACTCTGCCGTTTGCTCTCGGGTTCAAAATGGTGGCACCAAGTTGCATCCCAAGTGGCAATACGGAACAGAAAAGCATACTCTTCCTCATGGTATCGTTGCGAGTGACCCAGTGATGCAGCCATTCTCTGAGGCTTCTGTTCCTCCGTGAGTTGATGTGGAACCCACTGCGCGCAGATTTTACGGTACAGCAGGTGTTTTGTCACAATGGCGTGTACGGGCCGTGACTTATTCCCACAAAAACTAATTTCTTTCACAGTGATCCGTCGGTTTGCCCGGATATGACCATCCAACGCAGCAATAACATCAGGAGTGATGACACGATGAGCCTGTCCTGGGCGAGCATCATCTTGCAGTGACACACGTTCCTCTCGGAATCTCTTATGCCACGCCAGCACACGCGAACGTGACATGTTGTGTTCGCCGTAAACAACAGACATACGACGGTGAATTTCTCGTCTTCCTCCTCCTTCAGTAGTCAAAAAGCGCACTACACTTCGCTGTCCTCCTTTACCCGCCTACATTGCTGATGTTGGACGATCATACGTAGCGCTAACCTTACTTCCAACACAATAAACAAACGACTAGTTTGCAAGGGCACGTCGTCACTGTGCTCTCCCGAGTCCCCAACATATGTTCATACCGTAAGCAAATTCCAGTGTTCCCAACTTGCGCGCCGCATACGTGGTAACCCCATTTTCATTTGACTGCCCCTTATTCATTGAGGTCTTACGATTTCTCGAGCCCTTTTTCAAGGATTTCCCCAAATGTGTGATAGACTGGTGTTTTCGGAAATTAATTCTGAATTTGAACGTGCCACAGGTCCTGGTCCGTAAGGCTGCAGAAGAAGAAGATGAAGAAGAAGAAGAAGAAGAAGAAGAAGAAGAAAAAGAAGTATTTTCACTGATGTAACTGACTCAGAAGTTTTGTCACAAGCAGCAAGCGAACAAATGCGCCTGGCAATTTTGCTTCCAACAAATCATGAAAGTATGGTGCAACACTATTTATTTCGACAGCAGTGAAAGGAAGACACAATGACAGGATTCTATTCCTCGTCTTCTTCGTTGTCTTTCACGATACCGAGTCGCTTAGCAACCTGTTTTACAGTGTTAATAACTTCTTCCTGCACTAGGTTAAAACTCATAGCAAGCAATGCTATTCCGAAGAGGAGGTACAAGGAACAGAGGGCAATGCTGACTGTGGCGTCCTTGTTCTGTACACGTTTCGCAGGAACGAAATCACCAAATCCAATAGTTGTCAGCGTTATGAAACAAAAATACGCAGAATCAAGAAACTCCCACTTCTCCCATTTCGAAAACAAAAACGCTCCACAGAGTATGTAAGTGACGACAAGGAAAACACAGAGCCAGATAGGGACTGGTTTCGACCTGCTCGACTGTCCGCCGCCGTAGTCATCATAATCGTAGTCTACAAAGTAGTCTACAGAGTCGTCATAGTCTGCGTCTTCTCTCAGTCTGGAGAGTCGAGATGATTTCAGTTGCCGCTGCGACTGCTGGCGACTAATGGCGAACCCCATGGGCGACATGATTCTGGCCCGGCAAGGCGATGGCTGACGGGGATCATCTCCATGGTATCGGTGTTGCCCACTGCCCGAGTAAGAGCCAGAATAAGCTCCCTTACTGCGAATGCTGCTCTTCAAGGAATCTCTGGTTTGCGCTGCAGGTGAGGGCGGCAATGGCGGAGGTGGAGGTGGCATGTCAACGGCTAGGTAGTGCGGCTGGCGGCCTCCGTCCTTATCTGCTGTCGTGGAGTTGGCGCGCCTGGGGATGGTATTGTCAGCAGCCTCGTCGCGCTCTATGGCGTACCTGTTGGACAGGACTGGCACTGTCTTCGTGTCTAGCCCCTGGAGAATGTCGTCACTACCTGAAATCCAATTTTTCAGCTGTCAACAGTTCTGCAGATTCTTCTCTGTTAATTTTACTATATACCAGAAAATTAAAATATATATAGACGAAGTTAAAATATTTGTCTGAATCTCTTGTAGTTCTGAATGGCGTTAAACAAAGAAACGCTTCATAGACATTGCATAATTAGGTAGGTGTAGGAGAGTTAGAGGAGACTGGGAATGAATGGAACTAATCAGGTTCTGGTTTGTTCTCGCGATGTCAATTTACTGGGTGAAGTATGAACACCATTCGCAGAACACACACTGTCTCTACGTCAGTAAGGGTGTTGGCCTGGAAAGAAACAATGACAATTAAGTGTATGTTCATGTCTCGTCATTAACTTGCGGGACAAATTCATATTGAATCGAATGACGATAAATCGTGTTAAAACGTGGCAACGTCATGAAAGAAGGAAGAAGTTGGGGGCGATAATAACACGCTGAGAGAACTTAACTGTTACTCAAACCGAATCCCAAGCAAGTTTCAATGACGTTCCACTTATAGCGTTGTTGCCCAAATGTGTTCCTTATTATTACAGGATGGAAATTTATCATCCTGTCTCGTCTCTTTGGGGCGATAATTATAATAAGACTCACGAATTTTACTCATAACCAGTGAAGAAAATAGCTGTGAGTACATAGTGAGTGGGCCAACACACACACTCAGATGGTAAAACTTAAAGGAGAAATTTTTTATTGTATTTCCGTCTCGCAAGCAACGCTTTTGATGTTCTGATATTGTTTTCAGTTCGAACATCCACACAGTCCTTATGTACTTATTGGCAGTTCCTGCAAGCAACAGGAGCGGATATATGGTTATGTAAGTTGGCACAGCTTGTATGTTCGAGGCAGTTCATAGAATAAAAGCTATTTCAGTTGCAGTTTACAGTTACAGCAAAATCAAAGTTCAAATTAAGTTTGTGTCTTCTTACACTTTCTCGATTATTAGTTAGTGATATTCTATTGTTGTGTCATGATTTGTTTTATTGTTGTAGTTTAGCATGTTTCTTTTGTCTTTTGATGTTTCTGAACATTATATTTCAATCACATGGAACGTGTTTCTACAATGCAGAACCAACGATTAAGTCTGGGGTCGAATCCTAGATTAAAGGATTATCTCATCGGAGAGGCAGAGAGTTGTCCACCATCAGCTAATATGCGGAAATTATCACGGGCAAGGGGGTTAAGGGCAAAGGATTAAGCAAGTCTTCTTAAATACTTTATGGCTGCTGTCACATTCCTTTACACTGAACAAGAGCATTCCAGTTTGCGTTGTGAACTGCATTATATTGATATAACTAATTTTATGACCAAAATTATTCGTAACAATGTTCCTTTCATTCTTCTATTATAACACTACAGGCCCCTAATCTAAGTGTCGCATTACAAGCACAAGATTGTCACGACTATATTCAAGTCTGTGCAACAGGAAGCAGACTTAAGGATTTCTGCCTGAGGCATTCACTTTCTTGACCACTGAGGGACTAGGGCCGAGAAAGGGACTGAGGTACAAGTGGAGAATAGTACGAAATCGATTTTAGAGAAATGGAATGTGAAAGAAACTTTAAAAGGTGTTTTGTGCTTACAGCACTGAATTTCTGATTGATGTAATAACAAAAAAATTACAGAATGAAAGACGAAACTCAAGAGTTTGTGCACAATTAAATTTGTTAACCAGTTAATCCGGTATTTGCTTAGTAAGTAGTGGGGGGATAAAAGGAATGCGTATAGGATACTGGTGGGAAAGCCAGAAGGAAAGAGACCACTGGGAAAACCAAGGCGTAGGTGGATGGACAATATTAAAATAGATCTTAGAGGTATAGGATGGGAAGGTATGGATTGGATTGATCTGGCTCAGGATAGGGACAAGTTGAGGGCTCTTGTGAACACGGTAATGAACTTTCGGGTTCCATAAAATTCTGGGAAATTCTTGAGTAGCTGCAGATTTGGTTTCTCCTCAAGAAGGGCTCAGCTCCATAAGTAAGTAAGAAAGTAGTGATTTTAATCTATTACGTAGTTTTCCAATCAATAATTTCCCCACTTACTAAGATAGTCGGTCAATCAATAGATCTGTTAGTAAATGGAATAGTTATTTGGAACATTGGAGGTATACCCAGACTTACGCAGTTTCGCCTCATTGTCATCTCATTTCAACTTATTATCTGTTTATTTTTAGCAAGGTCTAGAAAGTAATGAAATTTTCTAATTGTCAAAAAACATGATTCATGAACGGCTAAAATGAACAGCATTGTAAACAAAGGATTGTTTGTTTTTCAATGAAAATGGAAGGCCCTGATGCCAATGGAATAACAGACATTACAGCTATGCCCCCAGTCTTGGGAACTCAATTATCCAGTAAGTCAGTGGATGATTATACCTATTTACTTATTCAGTTGGTCACATAACTAAACAGTATGTTACTATATTAGTAACTTTTTTTACCTTGGCACTACAGCCCCAGTGGGCCTAGGCCTACCTCCATGAACTTCTCCGTTCACTTCGGTTTTTCTAGATCTTACACATACAGTAGCACTCCTTGGGCGGGTGATCAGCTCGTCGCAAGGCCTCTACCTGTAGATAAACACAGAAAAACGCACACAAACATCCATGCCCTGAGTGTGATTCGAACCCACGATCCCTGTTTCCAAGCGACCGAAGACAGTGCCTGCCTTAGACCGCTCGTCTACCTTGACTGGCATATTAGTAACTTACTGTAACGCAATTCAGTCAATAGCACTGTTCTTATTTCGTTAATAATTTCGCATGCCCAACAGTTACTTAGTTAGACGGTTAATCATAGGGTGCTGAGAATATTTGAACCGAAGAGGGATGAAGTGATAGGAGGTTGGAAAAAACTGTACACTTCGCCAAATATAGGCCTAATTAGAATGATCAAATAAATGAGGATGAGATGGACAGGAAATGTAGCACGCCCGAAGAAGATGAACCCATACAGTTTTTTTTTTTTTCGTGGGAAAGCCAGAAGGAAAGAGACAACCAGAAAAACTTAGACGTAGGTGGAAGGATAATATTAAAAAATAGATCTTAGAGAAAGAGAATGGGGTGGTATGGACTGGATTGATCTGGTTCAGTTGGAGACCAGTGGAGGGCGCTTGTGACCGCAGTAGTGGACCTTCAGGCTCAACAGTATTTTGGGGAATTCGTGAGTAGCTGAACAACTGATGGGCTTCTGTTGGACTCAGCTCCATGGAGCTAGTTATTTATTTGGTTAGTTAGTCAGCCTGTCATTTAACCAATAATTTGATCAATTTAGTCCTGTTAGTCACTTAGTGCCACTGTACCTTGTTCGAGGGCTGCCCCCCCATGGCTGGACACTTGCAGAACAGTATCGGAGAAGCGCGAATGTTGAGAGGCCCTGTTGCTATGCATCCCGCGCGACATCATGGCCAGGTCGCGATCTCCATCGTCGTAGTACCTGCAGGCAAGTGTATAACAGGCCCGCAGCATTAACCGCTGAGAAACGTAGCTCTCCAACATTCATGTACATGTCCTTTTGTTCTCATGTTTAATTTCCCAGGCTTTGGATGGATTTAGGTTAAATTTAGTTTGGTGAGCCTACACTAAGCGTTGCAAGGGGAAATTCGGTTTTGTCTACTAAGTCTTTACAGTACAGCAAAATGGTAGTCACAGAGCCTTGGCCTCTCGAACACTAGGATCACGGGTTCATATCAGTTTCGGGGTATTGCCACGCATGTTCACGTTTTTTTCTCTCTCTTACATTTGGTTGTCCTTTGAAGGCAAAGGTTTTGCAGAGTGGCCGATCCCTCGTCCAAAGAGCCCAATCAAGCTTCCAAAATTTTAAATTTTCTGAATTAATTCCGAATCAGATTAAAAGAACTCCTGTTCCGTGAACACTGAAGTAGGTAAATGAAACACTGCGTAACATACGAAGAACTGGTAGTCCACAATTTATGACTACGTTCACATGTATCAATAAGTGTGGTTTTCCGACTTCCCACCGCGACGGTCCGGGTTCGGTCTCAGATTAAATTATTTGCGATTTGTTGTGGAAAAAGTGGTACTGGGACAGGTTTTCTCCGAGTACATCGGTTTCCTCTGCCAATTCTCATTCCACCGACTGCTCCACACTCATCATCTATCATACGGGGCTGGTACAATAGGCCAGAAGTGGCCGACGTACCAAGTGGACGCAGTCTCACCCCACCACAAGAAACTAAAAGAAATAGAAATTAATTTTCATTGAAACGTTCCTCGATGCAGCATATTCGTCTGAACAGAGAGAAAAGTAATTGGAGTGCTCATTCTGTTCAATTACCCTTCTCTGCAAGGATTTACTCTATTTCTGCTGCAGTTCTCCCTTCGATTCTCTCTCTCTGTCTCTCTCAACGACAGACAAACATCTGCAACAAAAGTACATCGAGAACAATGGGGAATGGAGAAACCTACAGGAAGGAGTTTGTAATCCAGGCTTAGTATGCAGTTGAACTTTTGTTTCAAGTATATGATGTATGAATATTTTGAACGATGCCAGGAGATTTAGTCTTCAGCCGCCAGTACATGTCGGCTGATTTGTCTTCAACAGAGACAGTGCGAAACGCTTGTATAACATCATTTTGTTACGAAACTTCTCTTGTGTAAATGGTCTCATGAACTGTGCAAACTATAAAACACGCTTCAGTGATCTGTATAGGATGTGTAACGTTTCAAATTTATGTATAAAATGAACAAAATATACATAAACTTTGTTCTGAAATCATATTTGTTCCGTTCACTAAACCGTCTATTAACCGAAGTCTCTTATTATCAGGGCGAATGTGGGAAAAAGAGGACGTTCTGGAGCGTAAAACACGGAACATTTACAACAGAACCTAGTTTCTGTATTCTTCCACGACAGTTCCTGAATGCAGATTTGACTTTTAAACGCTAGAATTTCAAATCCTTCCTCTTATCTTATTTAGGCCGAGACCGTGTCATAACTCACGCGGTTAGTCGCCAGCTTCCCACAGAGGCGTTCCGGGTTCTGGACTAGGTCAGGTTATGCGGGATTTGTGGTGGACAAAGTGGCACTAGTGCAGGTTTTCTCCGAGTATTTGGGTTTCCCCTGCCAATTTTCATTCCACTGCCAGCTCCACACTCATATATCGTCCGGGGGTGATATAATAGCCCAGTTAGTGGCCGGCGTACCAAGTTGACTCGGTCTCACCCCACTTCAAGGAACTAAAAAAGAAGTTAGTCCGACGAATTGAAATATATTTTGTAATTATCTTTTGAAATATGTCCCATCGCTAAAATATCTGTTAGTCCTAGAAGAAGAAATGTGCTTTAAATGTTCTTATTTGACAATTTGTGTGTCACCGAGGCATGGCATGTCCTCGGGTTATAGATAAATAAGACGGCCTTCATATATGAAGGGTGCCCACCAAAATAAAATTCAGTAGCGGACAGCTGAGAAGGATTGGTCTTCCTCCTTGGGAACTGGGCAGATTGCCAGCAACCTCTCAGCCTTACGGAATGTCACACAGGATCTGCAACTTTGGCAGATTCAGCGAAACTACTTAAGCAATGGATAATGGACGAGAGATTTAGAAACTGGAGTTTTGAAGAAATATATGTGTATTAGGCTGAATTTATGTGACCCTCAGTGGGGGCAATGGTAGTGTGCCTCTGGGTTCTGTGAAGGGCGGGGAATTTCTTGACAAGCCGAGCGTTGATTGATCCCTGAAGGAAACGTGTGTGCTCCAAGTAGTTACACAAATATTATATCGTGAATATTTTACCACCTAAGATATATTGCCTGGTATCTTCGTTTCCTCTTTTGTGACAAACAGTATTACTTTCACACATTTAAATAAAAAATAATAAATATCACAGGTACCGGTAGCGTAGTTGGTTGAGACACTATGCTACAAGCTGGAAGGTCGCAGGTACAAGCCCCGATGAGATCATTGGATTTTTTTTCAATTTACCTAATCCTTCCAGTCGCACTACGGCCTTGGGGTCGACTCCGCCTATAACAGAAATGAGTACAAGGAATTTTCTCTGGGAGGTAAAGTGCGGCCGGCGCGTAAGTCTTACAACTTTACCGCCAACTTTGAGCAGATTGTCTAGATACGGTGGGACTCTCAACGTGCCACAGCTCTATGGGTCTTCACGGACTGTTACAGGGAGAGCTTTATCTTTTTACAAGAAAACAGTAAATTTTATCGTGTAAACAAGCTAATATTTCCTTACCAAGCACGTAGATATATGTAATAGTATGAGAATGAGGAAGTGAGGTTTATTTGCAATACTTATGTTCCATGTTCCTTGATTTTTATGGAACTCGAAGTTACATTACCATGTTTACAATAACCACAAATTGGTCTGTATCCTAAGTTAGATACATTTTAATATTATCCTTCAATCTAGGCCTGAGTCTTCCATGTGTTACCTTCCCTCCATATTTTTCGGCCAAAGCTTTCAATGCATTTCTCATTCTTATCATGCCTGCTACATGAGTTTCTCGCCCATCTGCCTTGATTTGGCTATCATAGTAATGTTTGTAAAGAGCACAGATGTTATAAGGCAAGCATTACCTTCTATTTCCAGAACTCCGACACCGTGAGCTCGTATCCCATTCAGGATATGGATGTATTTCATCTTATCTGTGCTTGTGTTGTCTTCTGTATGTACGGGCCTTGCGATGGGAAGATCTCATATACTCGTACAAGGAGCCCCACAAAATATTAAGAGTTCATAGCCTAAGAAATTAATTCTGAACTAGAACGAACCAGGGGACCTAATCCGTACAGCAGAAATCAAAGCAGTAGACTAATATAAACTGCGAAATTCGTTACAAAATTGTTTTGAATCTCTAGTCACTTCCTTCTGCTTAGGTTCAAAGACTTCCTATGGAGTTTTCTCAAATGGTCTCAAATTTTGTTCTTCTCTTACGTAAGACTCCCATAAAATGCAGGAATAGGAACGTTCTTATATAAATTGTAAGTCAAAGTATTCTGAACAAAATGCTAGTAAGGGTTCCTCGAATTTAGTCGGATATTAATTTTCTCATGAAAAATATTTTGTTTCTGGCTTTTCCTTCACATTTAACTGTGCCACATTTTCAGTAAACCTACCAGATCTCTTTGTATTGTGATCCTCTTGTACATTCTGAAGACGAGACATGGATACATGCTTACTTTCCTTTGATATCACTTCCAAAGGTGTTTCATTGCTAGCGTCCAGAGGAGCTTCTGTGTCTCCTTGTAAGACATGTACATTTTCAGCCAACAAATTAACATCGGCTTACATCAGAAGAGGGAGCACGTGGTAGCGTAGTTGGTTTAGGCATTATACTACAAGCCGGAGGGTCGCGGGTTCGATTCCCAATTGGATCAATGAGAAAGTGTTTGAGCCTCGACGTCTGCCAACCCTACGGGCCTTCGCGCTCTGTTACAAAGATAGACTCACCTTAACTTATAATCGACACCTAATGATTGTATGCAAAGTATCACTATTATTTTGCTGTACACGAATGTACTGATTAATTTAAAGTATGTTAGTATTAAATTTAAGGTTATTTTAAAAATAAAGTGAAACAATTATAGTTTCATCCGACTATAAATTAGTGTTATGTTAATTATATTTTGGGGAACAATTCCAACGAGTTCTTTTAGTAATTCCTATGTGAGTAGGGCGTTGAGTCCCTTATTTTTATATTCATGCATCTATGCATCGCTGTATTACGCAAATCGGGCCTAGTTAGAGAAAGAAAGCTGATGCAGAAAAGTGTACGAACGACAGAAAAAGAATCTGCGGCAAAAATCACACTCAACACATAAACAAGGAGAATTGGGACGAAATGAAACATAAGAACACAAAGAACTAAGCATAATTTAATCAATAATACAAAGGAACATCAATTGAACGGATCCAAAGATGAGAGAATAAACATAATATTAAGCACCCGTTGTAAACAGAAGCAGGATAAGTACCATAGCAACAAGAATACAGCCAGGATCAGTCGATCTAATGACGTCACACACAGAAAACGACGCGACGTTGCGCACAACATAACACGTTCACGTAGAAATTTGCGTAACACAGCGATATATAGATACATGAACATATAACTATATATAAAAGGGGCTCGCATAAACGCCCTACACACATTAGAATTAAAAAAAAAAAACACTTTGGAATGGTCCCTTCAAACATATATGACAAAACATTAATTTATATTAACATTAAATTTTAAATATTTTATTTCATTTTTAAGTTAAACTTAAAATTAAGAAGTTTTAAATGAATCAGTAAATTCCTATAGAGCGAAATAACAGAGATGCTGTGCATACAAACATTATAGGTCGATTATAATATTGGACAAATTGTAACATATGAATCCATATAAGGTAAAATGAAAGTAAAATTGTCGCTGTGCTTAACTAATTAAGCACTGCGCCATGAAGACGTATG